GCAACAGAAATGAATCCACTACCAAGGTCTGGATAAGAACTCCCAGTGGTGTGACAATTCATCTAGACCTCAAGACCTCAAGAATAAAAAGGACTTTGCCTAGAAAAGGCTTAGGTGGAGTAGATCAGTGAGGAGGGAGAGAAGTCAGGCAAAGAAAGTTGTACTGGGTCCTGGTGGCTAGAAAGGTAGTTCAGTATGTCTAAGAACAAGGGAGGACCACAGAAGGGCCATTTGCAAGAAATGGACTGAGTAGATGTGTCCTTTAAAAAGCATACTTTTACATTCCTCCATAGAATGTCAAGTGGTTGGGGGGATGGTGGCGTTCCAGTTAGATGTCTCATAGGCGAATTCAAGGTTTCTCCACAAGGGCACCGGCAATGGGAGAGGAGAGAAGCCATTACACGGGCTGCTTAAGAGATAAGTGATTGGCTGGACAGGGGAGTGCAATGAGGACACAGAGCCAAAGTCGTCTTCTGGGTTCATTGTGGAGCAACTGGAGGCAGGGAGTGGCTTTAACAAAGGAGGAGAGACCCTGGAGAAGGAACAGGTCTGAAGGAGAAGATGTAGATGAAGGTAACCTATGAGTCCCAAACGGAGGTGTTCAAGTCACATGACCAAGACAACATTCCAAAATTATGTAAAATGGCATCAGTCAATGTTAAAATTAAAAAAAAAAAAAGTGTGTTCTACTGCTGGCTTCAGACATCATTCTTAAGCACAATTTATTCATTATGTGATCATAATCTAATAGTGGTGATGGGCTGGGGGAGTGTAGGGAGTTGAACTGTGTCCTCCAAAAGTCTGCTTAAGTCCTAACCCCTGGTACCTGTACAAGGGACCTTATTTAGAAATATGGCCTCTGCAGATGTAATCAAGTTATGGTGAGATCATCCTGGAGTAGAGCAGGCCCTAAATCCAATAACTGGTGTCCTTATAAGGAGAGAGAGATTTCAAGACACACTGAGACACAGAGAGAATGCCATATGAAGACAGGCAGAGAGTGGAGTTATGCTACTCCACGCCAAGGAGTCCCGGGAGCCACAAGGAGCTGGAAGAAGTGAGGCATGATTCTCCACAGAGACTTCGGAGGGAGCATGGCCCTGCAAATATTTTTATTTTGGACCCCTGCCTCCAGAACTGGGACACAGTCCATTCCTAATGTCTTGAGCTGCCCAGTCTGTGAGACTCTGCTATAGCAGCTGAAAAGAACTAACAGAGAGGGAACTGCTTTTACTTCAGAAGAAATTGGGAGGAGGGGATTCAAGCCAGAGAGAAGGCACCAAAGGAGAATAAGGCAGTGAATTACCTCACAAAATAAGGCTTTTGAGAGTCTGAACCTATTTAGGTCTTGGATTCAGTTTTCACATTTCAAATGTGGACATAAAAGTACTTGGTCCCTGAGGCTGGACATGGGGATGGTCTGTGCACTGTAATGGATAATAATAAATAGGTTATTATTCAATACTCTAGGAGTATAACGTGGCAGTCTGTTCCCCTATTACAATATTACTGTTGGTGCTGTGTCAGGTCGGACACATTTGCACACCCCCCTATCATGAAGGCAGTACTCGCTGACAGTCTGACATCACTGCAGTTCCGCGGTTCTCCAATGGCGGCAATTTACACCCCCCCACCCAGGGATATACAACAATGTCTGGGACATTTTTGGTTGTCCCAACTGAGAAGAGAGGCTACAGGCAAGTAGTGGGTAGAGACCAGGGATGCTGCTAAAACATCCTACAAAGCACAGAGCAGCCCCCACAACAAAGAACTGTCAGGAGTCAAGAGTGCTGAGGTGGGGGGGCACCTGGGTGGCTCAGTCTGCTAAGCATCTGCCTTTGGCTCAAGTCATGATTCCAGGGTCCTGGGATCGAACCCCAAATCTGGCTCCCTGCTTCACGGGGAGTCTGCTTCTCCCCACCCCACCCCCGCACCCTGGCTTGTGCTTTCTCTCTCAAATAAATAAAATCTTTTGTTTAAAGATTTTATTTATTTATTTGACAGCGAGAGATCACAAGTAGGCAGAGAGGCAGGCAGAGAGAGAGGAAGGGAAGCAGGCTCCCTGCTGAGCAGAGAGCCCAATGCAGGGCTCGATCCCAGGATCCTGAGATCATGACCTGGACCGAAGGCAGAGGCTTAACCCACTGAGCCACCCAGGTGCCCCAAATAAATAAATCTTTAAAAAACAAAAAAAGAGCACGGAGGTGAGAACTCTGCTCTAGAAGTACCCACATAACCTGCAGTCAGAGCTTCAACTACAAAGAATTCACTTTCTCATCCAGAAGAGCCTAACAGGTCACGTATCCTTCAGAAATGTGGTCGAAGAGACTATTAATACAGTGACCCATAACCAGCCCAGGGCTAATGGAGACTTGAAACTTCCTCTAGTCATCTAAAAAAAAGGTGAAAACTCCTGCCCTGGAGGACAGCCCTGCGGTCACTACCAGCTCTACAAGCCTGGCACTGACACACAGGTCACAGAGCCGAGGCGGCCGCACCTACAGCCATCTACGCAGCATGCTCAGCATAAACCAGCTGCCAGACTGGGTCAGAGGAGGAAGAGGAACCGCTCTCCCAGGTGGTCTCCCCCGGTAGCCAGGAGCCTCCCTGAAGCTGAAACCCCCAGAAGACCCAGCAGCTAAGCCCCTTGGCTGAACCCTGGAATTACAATTAGGCAGTGGGTGGCTGGCTTGGCCGTCCAGAGTTGGCACAGGTAATTTATCCTTTATCTCTACCTCGCAGCCATGCCTAAATTACTGCTGTCTTCAAAGCTGTCGTATCTCCTTCGCTGATGCCTCTGGCATGCAAAGCATTTGCAGTTGCCTCCTTGAAGCTACAGGGTAAATACGGCTGCGCATACTGTACATTTTTAACCGAGCCTGTTTATCAAGTCTCTGCGGTCTGCTTGTCACCGTCACAGTGAATTCAGATCATAAACAACTTGAGCCTTCAGTGTTATTCTCCTAGAAATATGAGGAGCTCATGGGGAAGGGCAAAAAAGAAATCCCAGTTTGGTAAAGGCAAAGATAGGTACCAAGGTTGCCCTCTTCGTTGGAGCCATATGTATATATTTTTTCCTTTCACTTACTAATAATACAAGTTCAAACATACCTGAGCAAATAAATGTGGGAGAGCTGTGAAGGCAACACCAGCTATAATGACAAAATCTGCCGTGGAGGGCAAAGCACATGGCTGAGTAGAAGAGCATATACCTTAATTCTCAAGTTCAAAAAGTCTATTTACTGGGTAGTTTTATGCAAGTTTGAGAATAAAAGTTGTGCTATATTGGCTTAAATACCCTTAATGTTTTCATGAACTCACTGAAGAAATCATAATCAAAGCTACATTTATATTTAAGATCAGCTTCGTCCTATCAACCTATATTGTATCAAGAAAATGAAAAGTTTAGTTCCAGCTTTTGGTCCACTGAGACAGAACAAATATTTCAACAGCTGGAAGATGTTAAAAGTCCAGAGTAATGACATTTGAAGAGTCATATATAATTACTTTCTCCTAAAAACAAAACATCTCAAAGAAAGCCAAAAAAACATGCTATCTCATAGGAAACCAAATAAACATAAAAATACAAAATTATAATCCTTCCCCAATTTTTATTTATCAAATTTACTTAGCTATCGGGACTGCTGAAACTGTCCCAGGTAAATGAAATAATTTCTTCTTGAAGTTATGGCAACACTATTTTCCTAAGTATGAAAAACAGAGTGTGGCATCTTTAAGTATTTATCATAGTCGTAGTACGGCTTTTCAGGATAGACTGTACATAATTTTCATTTCAGCTGGATGCCAAGCAGCTGAAATAATTCATAATGCAGGAGAATTAAAAGAAGCAAAAAGAAAAGCTCATACTGTTTCAATTTAGCTTGAATTTTCAAGCTGAAATATCAGCAACTCAGAAGCAGAATTTAAACTATCTCATGATAAACCTGCACATTTATTTTATACATTCATAGAGGACTGTTAACCAGGTTTCTCTTCCCCTTGCCTATCTAAACTGTACCCCATGAACTACACTTACACCTATTTTATGCCAGCAGTTCAGTCCACCATCATTGCCTTCCTATGTGGAAAAATACCGCAGATTTTTGTTGTTTCTCTAAGTTCATATTCTAGAAAAGATGGAGTATTTACAAAGGACCAGTAAAAAAAATACTTTGCAATCCCTCAAGACACTGAGTACACTTGATGAAGAATGTTCCCTAAAGAAAGACAGAGTTGGGGCCCCTGAATGGCTCAGATGGTTAAGCATCTGCCTTTGGCTCAGGTCATGATCTCGGGGTCCTGGCATCGAGTCCTCCATCAGGCTCCCTGCTCCGTGGGGAGTCTGCTTCTCCCTCTGCCTCTGCCTGCAGCTCCCTCCCACTTGTGCTCTGTCTCTCTGTCTCAAATGAATAAATAAAATCTTAAAAAAGACAGAGCTGAGGGGGGTATGCGTGTGTGTGTGTCTGTGTGTGAAACACTCTCCCAGCTGACTGACTTTATCCCCTTCAGAAGGAAGTACTGGTGTACCGCTCTCATTCTGCCAGTCACAGGGAGAATTCCTAGACCAGTAGCCATTAAGAGCAGTGGGTTTCAAATTAAGTTACAAACACTCGAATTGTGTCCCAGCTTGTTCTCAACTGGAGCAACTTTGATGTGTTTTCTACAAAAATTCTATGGCAGAAGAAGTGTGAAAAATGCTGATAGTGAATAATACGAGTGCTACCTCCCCAGGAATGTCATGAGAATCCAATGATAAAATGTGTAAAACGCTCAGAAGAGTGGCTTGCGCACTGGAAAAGCTAGACAGAGGATGGCTGGAATGATATGAGTCTCAACTGGGTATGAAATTTAAAGAAAGTGAAACATGGATGCTACTTCCACATGTGGAAACTATAAGTCTAACATCACAAACTTTTAAAGGATAATCAACCCTAAAGGACATTTGAATTACAGAGCTTTAAAACCAGATGTACGGCCAGCAACATCACAAAATGGCTTACCTTTTCTTCTTGGTGATAATGAGCACGTCATTAAAGAGAAAGAAGTAGACTTGCTGTTTAGATGTCCTTCTTGAGAAAAGCACGGTGTCTTCTACGTAGGCTGTCAACTCACCTCTTTTGACCAACCACCGGGAAGAGGAGACTAAAGGAAAAGGCTACAGAAGGAGAAAAACTCAGTGTATGAAGCCAAATGAAAGTCCTTTTAAGATTATTGAAGGGGAAGTTAAACTCCCATCTAAACAAACAATACCTATCATGGTATATACATCATTACTTTATAAGTATATAACACTGAAATATAATTAGAGAAGTACAGTATATTCTCCAAGAGAAAATGAAAGAACAATTATTTCCTAATAGAAAAAACTATTAACTTGCTTATATGACAACTAAAACTCAATGAGAAAATATTATTAGGTCAGCCCAAAATTATCCTTCTGTAACTCTCAAAAGATGGACAGGGAGTCACTTAAAATGGAAAAGCCTCAAAAGGAAATCTATCAGTACCAAATTGCTGCTATTTTAAATATCACAGAACAGAACCTGATAACTATAGTTACAAGAAACAAAAAAAGTCTACATTCATTTTATCAACTAAAAGGATTTTATTCAACAGGAAAAACCCTACAAACTATGTTTTGTCTACTGATATTTACTTAGTCATAGTCTGGAGAACACCTGCTCTTAAGTTTATAGTAGTTTTCCTCATGGAAATTCATCCCTGACAGCATCAGGCCACTTTCTCATTATGCAAAGGATGTTCTTCCAAAATAATCCATCTTAATCTCATAGAAAAGGCTGTATCCAAGGAATTACATACCGTTTTTTCTATATTCAGTGCCCAGTTTCCAACTGAAAAACTCTCAAAACTACAGAATAATCCTTATCCTTGAGTTCTTTTTTTTTTTAAGTTATCAGAAATGCTTATTGCCAAAAATCTGATTTTAAAAACTGTACCCAGAGAATAAGCAAAAGGTCTTGGACACATAAAACATAGCTGTAATAGTACCAAAGGCCATCCTTTTCAGGGAACAGTGATTTAAAAATAGCTAGAGGAAACTGAGGGTATAGAGAAGAAATAACAAAGCTAAGAAAGGATTTCATACACAAACACACACACACACTCACACACACACACACACACACGCACATATGTTCATATATGTATTTTTTAATTTTATAAAGGGACTTTTATAAGGAGGTTGCTCATCAGTTATAGACTACTTTCCTGAAGGTTTAAAAAGGAAGATGAAAGATTATGGTTGACCTCAAACTTTCAAAGCTAGCTATTAAGGGAGTTCATGGAGTTTCCAGCCCCCAAATCTCAAATCAAACAATTATCCAACTGGGATGGCTGAGACTTAAAAGGCGATAACAGAGAGATGCTTAGACAACTTGGGGGACCCTACCATCCCACCCCAGAGGTCACCACAAGGGATCAGGTGTCGGGTTTGGTCCCATGAAAGGGCTGCAGTTGTGGAGAACACAGAGCTATCTTGCTAGTGCGTGTAAGCCTACGGGATACACTGAGGGCGTTCTTCGGCTAAGGTCCAGAGTATACACCACCCTAGAGCAGTTCTTGGTTCAGGAAACGGGGGAAGTATATCTTTTATTCTATATAGTTTTTAAAATAGATTGATTTTTATGGATTCCTCACATCCCATGAGGCAAAAATTAAGATCTAAAATCAGCAGCAGTTTTCAAGATGTCAATGCTTTTTTGAAAGCAAAAACCTGGCATTATAAGTGTTGTTTGTTTCCAAATTTATTATTAGGAGATTAAACTCATTTTATTTCTGTTTTTGTTTTGTTTTTTTTTTTTTTAAAGAAAAAACTACTAAAATGACCAAAGAAAAGAATCCAGACAATCCGCGGTGGAATAAATGAATTCTCCTAGTTAAGAAACTCTGACTAGAACCAACACTAGAAAAGAAATACATGAACAAAAATATTTCCTTAAGAGTCCTGAAATAATTTCTATGGAGAAAAGCCTTTTTATTCTTTTTGGTTTTAAGCAGCATTTTAGAAAACTAGCTTCTGCGTAAAATTTAACAATTTTATAGGCCAGCAAGACAAAGAAGAGTTGCTGAAGAATAACTTTTTAGTCAAGATAAAATTAATCATTTAAGCATTTTAAAGATTTATTTATTTATTTATTTGACAGAGAGAGAGAGAGAGAGTGAGAGCTTTCACAAGTAGGCAGAGCAGCAGGCAGAGAGAGAAGGAGAAGCAGGCTCCCCATTGAGCAGAGAGCCCGATGCAAGGCTCCATCCCAGAGAGCCTGATGTGGGGCTCGATCCCAGGAACCTGAGATCATGACCTGAGCCAAAAGGCAGAGGTTTAACCCACTGAGCCACCCAGGCAGCTCCATTTAAGCATTTTAAAGTGTACATGTAATTCGGTAACTTTTAGCACATTCACAGCGCAATGCAATAATCATCACCACCTCATTCCAGAACATTCTCATTACTTGAATGGTAAGTAACTGGAGAGGGAGAAAAACCAAGAGAGAATTTTAACTATAGGAAACAAACTGAGGGTTACTGGTGGAGGGATGGGTTAACAGGGTGATGGGAATTAAGAAGGGCACGTGATGTGATGAGCACCAGCTGAGGAATTACTGAACTCTACATCTGAAACTAGTGATGTACTTATATGTAGGCTAATTGCATTTAAATAAATAAATAAATAAATAAATAAATAAAACCCTATATGTAGTAAGCGGTCACTCTCCATTCTGCCCCCTGTCTCCTACCCAGGCCCTGGCAGCTAGTAATCTACCTTCGAACCCCGTAAGTTTGCCTATTCCAGATAGTCCATATCAACAGAATTATTGAATACAGGACCTTCGATGTTGGCATGTATCAGAACTTTAATCATTTTTTATGGCTAAACACTACTTCACTTTAGGAATGTAGCACATTTTATTCATCAGTTCACCTATTTTCTTGACGGACATTGGGGTCAATCCCACTTTTTTGGCTACTGTGAATAATGCTGCCATGAACATTCACAGAAAACCTTTCATTTGAATGACTGTCTTCAATTCTCCTGAGTATTTACCTCGCAGTGGAATTGCTGGGTCATATGGTAATCCTACTTTAACGTTTTGAGAAGCCACCAAACTGTCTTCTGTAATGCACAGACTTTTTAATACCTCAGACTTCTGCATTTGTCCACTATATCTTGGACTTCTAGTTATAAGCAAAGTCCCCAAATAATGACCAGGAAACCTATCCACCCACCAATACGCCACCCCACTCCATTACACTTAATTTATGGTTCATGGTCTAGCCCGGCATCCTCAACTTCCCCATGTGCTTATTCATAAGGCCAAACTTTCCATTACAAGACAAAAAAATAATCCTCCCCAACTCTGTGAAGGCAACTTTTAGAGAAAGCGGGGGTCTAGAGGAAAAAACACTTGGATCTGAGGTACAAACTGGTGTCTGATCTTAATTGGTGACCAACTTTTTCTCCAGAGCCCTCATTTCCTTCCTCCTGCCAGGGTTCTTGGATGGAAAAGTCTAATCTGTTTAAACAGTTTCACATCTTATTCACTCTTCATCCCTCTGCAACATGCCTGCCAGACCTATGAAACTATTCTTTTTTTTTTTTTATGTTAAGTTAGTCACCATGCAGTACATCATTAGTTTTTGATGTAGTGTTCCATGATTCATTGTTTGCATATAACACCCAGTGCTCCATGCAATACATGCCCTCCTTAATACCCATCACTGGGCTCACCTATCGCCCCCAACTCCCCTCCCTTCTAAAATCCCCCACTTGTTTCCCAGAGTCCATACTATGAAACTATTCTGACAAAGAATCTGAATATTTACCTATTGCTTACTGTCAATCAGATCTGTTCCAAGTCCTTTATGCAATGAATTTAATCCTCACAGTAACTCCCTAAGGGAAGTAACTATCATCAGTCCCCACTTTAAGGTTCAGAAAACTGAGACATGAAGTAATGCCCAAACTCACAGAGCTATTAGCTGCTGGAGTTATTTTCTAATTTGCAATTTCCTAATGATTTTTTTTTTCCCCTTAACTTTTTCTTATCTCTCTGAGCTTATATGCTGAAGACACTTCTTGTCTATATGTGAGTTGCAAATATTTTTCCAGTTTGCTATTTCTCTCTCTACTTTTTTAAGTCTTATTTTTCTCATCTATAGAGAAATTTTTAAAATTTTTTTATATATATGAACTTACCAATTTTTTTTAATGACTTCTGGATTTGGAATAAGTTCAAAAGGCCTTTCCCATGTTGCTGAAGTGTTGCTTCCCTGCTTAGAACTTTTCAGTGGCTCCCAAATGACCTTGCTCAGCTGTTCCTCTTGGCACATAATGCCCCCCAACGTGAGCTGCTGTTTACTGCTTGGCTCTGCCTTCTCCCCCTGCACCCCATGCCTACCCACACTGGATGCATACAACTGCTGGGCTACAGCAGCTGAAGCCATGCCCTGTGCATTTGTTCCTCCTTTTTACTTCTAGAAGACCCTTCCTAACTCACCTTTCAAGATTCAGCTCAAAGGTACCTCTGGTATGAAGCTTTGCCTGACTGTGACTAGCTCCCCACGTGGCCCTGTATGCCTCATGGGTAGGGCTGACCACCCTTCCCATTGAGAGTATTCTCAAAAAAAAAAAAAAAAAAAAAAAAAAAAAAAAAAATGTGGGGGAGGAATCACACCATAAAATTCACTCTTAACTATAGAGAACAAACTGAGGATTGCTGGAGGGGAGGGGAGGGGGGATGGGCTAGATGGGGGATGGGCATTAAGGAGGGCACTTGTTATGATGGGCACTGGGTGTTGTATGTAAGTGATGAATCACTGAATTCTAAAACAAATTTTTTTTTAAAGAAAGGAGAGAGGTTCTCAATTGTCTTCCATCCACAGTGACAGCAGCAGACATTGCAGATTCCTGTGTACTTCAGGGGTCTTCTAGTAGACTGTTAAGTTTCCTGAGGGCAGGGATCAGGTTTTGGTTTTCTGGCTGCCTTCCACAGAGAAAGTGCTCACAAAATTTGTTGAAGCAACACATGCGCTTGGACAAATAATTTGACTTCTTCACACAGCTATAGCTTCTCGTCTTTAAAATGAACTGAATAAAAATGTCCACTGTTGCTCGTAAAGTGCTATGGAAACAGGTTCCTCAGATTTTATGTATTCTAAGTAGTCTGAATTAAGGGTCTTATTGTAAATCTAAACATAGAATATCTTCCTTTAGGCTTGTAAATACTTTAATCATTGAACCAAAAGAAAACAAAAAACCCAAAATTCATGAACTCAATTGATGTTAATCATTTATTTTTAAGGATCCTTGGGGTAAGCATTTTTCAATTACAAATTAATTTGGGGCTCTAGAGAAACAGAGCTTAAAGATAACTCAAGCCAACAGATTTTCAGTGAAGGAAAAAAAAAAAGAAAAATGATCAGGGAAGGGATTTATCATCTTTAAAAATCAACATGGTTAGGAATTTATAATCTTCAAAAAGGAGGAGATAAAACTTTTGATGTCTAGGTATATTTTCTAAAATACTTAGAAACAAATTACCGAGAAGGACAAGTTTTTCTTTGAGGGATGGAGGAAAGATGAGTTTGGAAATGGCTATAAATTTCTGTAGAAGGCCATTATGACAAACTGCATATGTGCATTTGTTTTTCACAAGTACACATCATCTTCCGTTCTAAGAATTATGTGTCATGTTCCTGCCTCTCAACCGTTGTAGTCAGGACATTCTGGTGAGAGTTTACACTGATCTTCAAGTCAAGACACAGGCCCCTCTGCCTGATTCCACCATCACTAGCCCAGTGACCCCTTTAACAATTAAATATTCTCTGGGCTTTATTTTTCTCATTTATAAAATAAAAGCATACAGCTCTACTGAACCAGTGGTCCTCCAACAGTAACAGCAAGGCAGAGAATCTCCTCTCCGCACAAGACCACGAAATGCTGATCCCTTTCACAGATATCTACCACACAATTTAGGAGCACTTTTACTATGAAAAAATACAACTAGTCACTTTAAGCTGCTTAATTAAAGTTACAAGTTAGAAAATACAACCGAATCACAATCGTGTGAGCCCACATCCAGGAGAACTCAGTTGTGAGCCAACAAAGGACTATGACCCAGATTTGCCATTAACGGTCATTTTCTTCTTTACACATCCTGTCATCCACTCCTAAACAGTATCGACAAGCAGTGAGAGGCAGCACATACCCAAAAAAGAATTATGGAAGAAAAACAAATTTGAAAAGAACACTCCATTAATTTTCTTTTTTCTCCAACTAATTTCTTTTTTTCCAGACTGGAAGAGGAGTGTCTTTACCTAATTGAGGAGAACACGTGCTACAATTTATGGATTTTGTTTGTTTTGCAGGACACTTTGAGAATAGTCATTCTAAAATTCTTTTTTTTTTTTTACTACCCTTTTCCCTAAATTTAGGGAGGCAGGGTGAGGGAATGTGCTAGTTAGATAAACCTAACCTTGTGGCCTGGAGAAAGGCAACTTTATCTGGTGACCATAAGCAGGAACAGAGCTGCCTGGAGCTTCTGCGATGCCCTCAGCCAGTCCGGTCCCTCTCCAGTCAATTTATGGCCCTTCTTTGAAAAGCAAATTCCTATGCACTTTGTTGCCCTCAACTATCAGTCTCTATTTACATAAGATTTAAGCAAGAGCAGCAATAAATCTGTTTATGAAGAAACACGAGAATACCTTAATTTTAAATTCCAACTGGGAGTTAATTGTGTACATCATTTCAGTCCTTTCCATCTTCCGAGCTCCTTCATTGCACAGTCGAACCAACTGAGAACAAAGAAGAAGAAGGACGGTTAAGAGGTCAAGGAAAGAAACCTCAATTTCAAATACAGATCTCTCGCAGGAAATAAGCTGCACTTGGGAAGCTCCAGAGACTCACTTCTGACAGTTAAAGAACTCACAGTCTTACACAGTGAAGACATTGTACCCAGTTATAGATGGTGTCATTAAGATGTGAAGACAGAGGGGGAAAAAAGTCCTGAAAAGTCTCCGGGACACATTTGCTCTGAGGGCTCTCCCACAGTCTGGTCTCTGACCTTCTGCTCCTTTCCTTTGTCCTTCCTCCTCTCCTTCCCCAGGGAAACCCCAGCCAGCCTCAGGGCAAGCTTTTCCTCTCTCCCCACTTCCAAATCCCCGAGGCTGGGGCAGACTACCAATTGCAAAGGCAAATTTTAAGCAGAGTCCTACCTGCAAAGCATGTGACCGATACACAGGGTGCCAAAAGAGGGAAGGCTCTGGGTGGAACCCAAGGATCGATGATTTTTCAAGGATGGCCAAGCTAAGGGAAATTCAGTTTAACTAGAATTACTGAACTACCTAGGAACTGAATGTATTCCAAGACCTTTGGTGGGGGCCTGTGATTTATAATAAAAAATTTATTTGGTCTTGGTTCTTAGTTTCCAGCACACAGTCCCTTCAGCCCTTGTAACTTCCTATTTAAGAGCCAGGGGAGCATCTTTAGTTATAATACGTAGTTCTGTTCCCAGTTCCTGAAAGCTCCAAGGCCATAATGAGTGTCTTCCTTTTCCTAACAAGCCCCTTTCAACCACATCTGAATTTACCTTAGTGAGGTAGCTTGTAGAAACCCCCTAAGGATAAGGCTGGTTGTCAGGGGAGCCAACCAAGTGATTACAGAGAGGGATGTAACTTTCAGCCCCGCCAGACCCTCCCCAACCAGACTACTGGGGACGGGAGAAGGCTGGTGGTTGGCTTGACCACTAATCATCAATGATGGAATCAATCATGCCTACAGAATGAAACCTCCATAAAAATTCTCAGACTGTGAATTTCAGAGAGCTTCCAAGTTGGTGCACAAGAACACATCTGTGTGCTGGGGGGGCTGGTGAACCCCATATGGAGACAGAAGCTCTGGGCTTGAGACCCTTTCAGACCTGGTCCTGGCATTGGTCTAGGCACAGTGAACACCACGAGCAAAGGGCTGATCATGGTAAAGTGATTCTGTGTCTGAGAAAGGAAAAGAGCCTGACACAAGGAAGATGGCACAAGATGAAGGGACAGAGGCCAGGGTCAAAGCACACAAGTTCTTAACGCATCTGGACTGCATTCCGAGTGCAAAGAGAAGCGTTACTCGCAGGCTTTCAGCAGGGGAGAGAGAGGATGCAATTTATGCTACAATCACAGGCTTTCCCCAATGTGTTTGTTCAATTCCCTACTGATGGACGCTTAAATGATTTCCGATTGCTTAATAGATTTCTTGATTTGGGGGGTACCCCTATCTTCAGTTACAGCTTATCTTTCAGTCTGAACCTAGAGTCCACCGATGCAGGGACAGATGGTTACACCTGGTCACAAACAAGGGCTGAAAACACCTGGCGTAGGGTTAGGGGCAATCTGAAACTGCAGTATGCTGAAAGGATTAAGTATGCTGAAAGGAAATCTAACCAGGTGGCCGTGGCTCCAGACATTTTCACAAATTCTCTTGAGGAGTATGTTCACAGCTCCCATAACTATGTTCCTGGACTTGGTCTGTCCCCTGGGTTCTACCACCAACTACCAACTACCTATATGGCCCACAGGCAGCTCGAACTCTAAAATGAGAATGACCAAACCTACACACCCCCTTCATCACCCCCTCCCTGTGGCCCCGTGTGCTCTAGGTCAGTGACTACTTCCAGCATCATCCACCTTCCCGGTCCGAAACCCTGGCACTCAGTGCTCTCAGTCGCCTCCTTCTCCTTTGTCCTCTGTAACATTTCCCTCCCTTTGCCTTGTGCCCAGAACTCAGGCCCAAACCCCCCACTTCCCTGGATTATTGGCCTACTTATTCTCTGCCATCCATTGCTCCTACCCTACCCTTACACATCCTGATGATAACACTATCAATCCTTATAAGTTCAAATCTGATCATGAAATGCCTGGGCTATAAAATCACTAGTAGGCTCCCCTGAGCTTTCAGAATTAGGTCTTAGCAACACCATGATCTGGCAACTGCTCTTATCCTGGACCTCAGCCCTACAAAATTTCTGGTCAAAGCACCACATTCCATCTTGCCTTTGCCCTTTTGCATGTGTGATTCCCTCTGCCCACACACCCTTCAGTCCACTCTGTCCAACCAACTCCTTCTTATCTAGATTTATAACCCCCTACCTGTCTCTCAGGACTTATCTGGGACAGTTTCTCTCCAAAGAGAATGGAGAGCAGAGATTGTGAAATTTCCATATATGTCAGCCTAGTGCCCACAGCCCAGCACCTAAAAACACAAGGAACACGCAGCAAATGTTTCTGTGTAAACAGCCTTCAGAGACGGTTTGTAAGTCACTTAAAAAAAAGGGATGGGGGCAGGGTGGAGGAGCAGTTCCTTTATAATCATCCTATTTTAAAATGAGAAGGGAAAAGGGCATTACTAAGTTTGGGTTATCATCTCACTTCCTAAACTTCCAAATATCAATTCCATCAGCAAAAGTCCATGGAGTCATCCACCACAACAGAAGACAAGGTTTCAAAGAGCATATTAAAAACAAGAAAATTCCCCAAATGTCTTAAGCAATGGTCTCATCAGTGGAGCCCATTTTAATGACTATTTCAAAGGGACAAGAACTCGTTTGCAAATGTGTGCTCTGGTGTTTTTATTAAAATCAGGCTCAGCATATTAAAATAATGCCTTCCTTCGGCAGCTGTCAAAGCTTTATTAAATTCAACTCACTAACTTTTTTTAAGCCAAATTTATTAAAAAAAAAAAAAAGCTCAAACCTTCTAACAAAGAAATATAAATTTAAAATATTTTCAATCTATTTCATTCACAAAGATTTTTTTTTTTAAGAGTTTATTTATTTGAAAGCAGAAATCACAAGGCGGGGGGGAAGTAGGCTCCCTGCTAAGCAGAGAGCCCAACCCGGGCCTCAATCCCAGGACCCTGAGATCATGACCCGAGCCGAAGGCAGAGGCTTTAACCCACTGAGCCGCCCAAGCAACCCACATTCACAAAGATTAAATGAATATTTGATGCTGGGAAGTGTGCAGAAAGACAGACATTTACATATCTTTTGGTGGCCATGGACTTGGGAGCAACCTTTCTTGAAGGCACTTGGGGGCCTTTAAAAATACCTAAATTTTGTCCCAATAAACCCACTTCTAGAAACTGGTCTTTAGAAATAATGAGATGAGTACATTTATGTCAGACAATTCCAGGCAGTACTAGTAGAATAGTAAGTGAAATGGGTACCATAAGAATCAATTTTTCTGGGTATGTTTATACCATATATTGGTATTGGATTAGACATCCCATTGGAAGTATATGTAGTAGAATGACAACAGTCATTACTCTTTTTTTTTTTAAGATTTTATTTATTTGAGAGAGAGATAGCAAGAGAGAGCATGGAGCTGTGGTGGGGAGAGGAGGGAAGGTGTGGAGAGGGAGAGGGAGAAGCAGACTCCCCGCTGAGCAGGGAGGCCAATGTCAGGCTCCATCCCAGGACCATGGGATCAGGACCTGAACTAAAGGCAGATGCTTAACCAAATAAGTCACCCAAGTGACCCAACAGTCATTATTTTTGACAAAAGTACCAATATATTTTATTTTCTCTTACCTAAATTTTCCAAGTTTTCTATAATGTACAGTTACTAGTTTATTTTCAGAGTATACCTTTGTAAACCTTAAAGCAGTACTTAGAGTGAAAATAGAAACCTTGTGAATCTTTCCCTTCCACGCAGTTCAAACTTCAATGTGTATGATTCTGGGACTATTTCTATACACTGGTAACTATACACCAGTAACGTACATACGAGCATCAACACACTTGATTATCTAGATGTCATTACACCATCTGTATTGCTCTGCAACTTAATGTGCCTCGCGTAACGATATAGCTTAGGGATCTTTCCAGGGGAACAGATATGTATGCTTACCTTTCTGTAAATGGTGGAACCAGTAAGCTACAGAAGAAGAGTAAAGAGAATTGGCTATTTCACTACCAGGAGAAAAGCTTATAACTTAACAGATCTCCAAACAGAAGTAGCGTTTTTATGAGAAAAGAATGAAAGCAGTTAGTCCCTTCAGGAGAGTAAATGCAAAAGGGCAGGAAAGACTTCCCTGGCACCCACCCTCCAACCTCCTACTCCTTGAACCTCAGACGCCACTCTGCACCAGATGAACTTGAGATTCCCTGGCAATCACCCACCCCGTAGCTCCACCCCAGCATGTGAACAGAAAATCGGGAAGTAAACACATTTTTATTTAACAGAAATGTCTTTCTTGTTTTTGAGTTGTTCGATGAGGCCAGTAAGTCTTTCCAAGGCCCCAAATTCAGTAAGTACTTACACTCACTTCAGCAATGTGTATGAGGAATTTCAGTGACATATTATTCATACTATGCAAATAAATTTGATTAGCATTTTAATTACCAGAAAAGATATTACTCATTTTTTCCAAGAATGAGTAACTATCTAGAGACACTTGCCCAAGGGCCTTAGGTAGTCTCCTTCTAAAAACTTGGACCCTTGGGGCGCCTGGGTGGCTCAGTGGGTTGAAGCCTCTGCCTTCGGCTCAGGTCACGATCCCAGAGTCCTGGGATCGAGCCCCACATCGGGCTCTCTGCTCAGCAGGGAGTCTGCTTCCTCCTCTTTCTCTGCCAGCTTCTCTGCCTACTTGTGATCTCTGTCTGCCAAATAAATAAATAAAAATCTTTAATAAATAAATAAATAAATAAATAAATAAAAACTTGGATCCTGATATACCAAGTGTCACTCTCTAAAATAAATACTGGAAACTCCTACTTTCTTTTCTTTTCAGCTAAAGCAAACAAGTGAAATTCTGCATTTTAATTTTGAACAACAAATGCTCTATTTATACACTCTTTTTGTTGAAAGTACTGATACTGTTCTCCCAGAATCTTTAAACTCCATCAGTAACCTTGACAAATGAAAAAGAAGTTAATTCCTAAGTTGGCTGTAATAGTGGTTTTAGTTACCATACACCACTAGGAGACTCAAGAAATAATTCTGATGTTCATAACTTCTGCTCAAGAGAGAGAAAGAAATGCAGAGAAAACAAGTCACTAGAAGGGCATTTCTTCACAGAGAGCCTTTTATATGCTTATAGTATCAGATTAAGGCAATTCACTGATGCATTACATTTTTGCCCGCCTTTCCTACAACTACCAGTGTCAAATCCAGTGAATAAGAGATGCCTGAAGGAATGTAGTGGTTTAACTGCAGTGTGAAATTCTTGAAAAACACTAAATATCATTCCTAGCTCAATTCAACAATTACTACAGCCTTCCTCTTTCCTCTTCTGTGTGAATTCTTTTTATGCACTCAATCTCTGTGCGCACCTCCCCAATATTATACATCGCTTCTCTACGTCCTACTATATATCCATAAAGGCCACTGTCACCTTTAGCCTAATCAATACAAAAGCCTCACAACTGGTCCCACCCCCACTGCCACCATTATAACACATGAATTTACACCTTCTGCATCGTCGTAAGACAAGGTCCACACTTCCCTAACATTGGCTCCCCAGTATTCTTTCCTAGACCGGGCTCTAAAGCCACATGAAGAACATGTCAGTTCTTCAAATGCCCCAAATATTTTTCTTGCCTTTGGGTTTCTACACATACCCAAGACACTGTTTTCCCCACCAAGCCCTGGTTCAGAGCTCAGCTTGCTTTAGGTTTCAGCTAAAACATCACTATGTCCTTCTCTACCGTGTTACTCCCCATTCTTTATTGTAATTCTTACGTAACACCTGCTTTCGCCTTTACACAGCACGTTGCATGAGGACATTAACCACAACTGTCTTACGTCTAGTCTACATCACTGTATTTTCAGGGGTTGGCATCATGCCTGGCACAGCAGTTGATACTCAGTAAACATCTGTTTAATGAATGAAAGAATGAATAAACGACTATCCAGACACCAAAAGAAAATGAGATCTCTATTGGCCCTTACAGCAAGACTGTGTAAAACAATAAAAATACTCACTTCATTTGAGAACAGCAAACATTATTTTGTTTCTCAGCTCCCTAAAGAATGCCATGTGAATGGCTTTGAGAACTCCCAATGCTCAGCATCAAACCCAGATGTGTGCTCTTCTGAGAAACTGAAGGGTTTACTGAGGGACGAGGTAGCTTTCAACAGTTACCTTGCTCACTTCCTTTAGGGCTCTTTTGCAGACCTCATACTTTGGAGAGTCCTTCGGTGTTTTCTGACAGATAGTCTGCAGTGAAGCAAAAGAAAAGAAAAAAAGGTCAATTTATTTTATTAAGTAAAATAAAATCAAGGTCCAGCCACATCCTCTTAATTATAGCAAACTTAACAATGCTGAACACATTATGGAAGACTATAAAGATTACATTAAAATCTGATGACAAAACTAGGAAACAGTCTTTAAATGCACAGGATCTAAGTAAATCCAGGGAATGATTAAATAAGAGAATGGACTTCAGAGGTGGAGGAACCGGGTTTCAAATCCAAGTTCTGTCCCTTACTAGCTATTTGACTGTGGGCAAGTTACTCAAAGTAACTATGTCTGTAGATAATATCACTGAATAAAAAGATCAAGAAAAACAGGCCGCTGGATCTTCTCTTTCTCTTGATATAGCTATACTGCAATTTTTATAATGCTAAAATTGACTTCAAAGAGGGTTAATTCAAGGTAAATGGGAATACAAATAATTTTTGAAACCATATCCATTCAAAGCCAATGGAATCATTTCAATTGTTAAAAATGTTCATCTCAACACGTTTAACTAACTCTCCAAATGAAGCAAAATTGAAGAGATGATGCTTTAAGTACATTTAGATTCTGCCCAGGTGGCCAGATTCTCACATTTGGGGAAACTGATTACAGCAATAGGAATCAAACAGAGACGGAAGGTAAGTTCAGAACTGGTACCTTAAATGTACATGAGTACCAGACATACAAATCTGGAAGTCAGGTGTCAGGATTGTTACATAATGCTATGTGAGAAGCAGAGTGTCCCATCTGTGGACTTTTGTCAATGGTTCTCACATTTTTTACTATGATCCACTGTAAGAAATCCATTTACATTAGCAACCAGGACATGTGAACATAAAAATGAAAAAAGGTCTTTTATAAAATAATATTTAATCACATTATGAACTGTGTATATATCACTTTCCATACATTCTATTCTATTTCACTTTTTAAAATATTCTATTTATTTACTGAGAGAAAGAGACACAGATAGCAGCAGAGATAGTGAGAGAGCAGGACCAGGGAGGAAAGGGAGAAGCAGGCTCCCCAGTGAGCTGAAGGCAGATGCTCAAGGGACCGAGCCACCCAGGTGTCCCTCTGTTCCACTTTTTAAATAAATACGGTTTATGGTTCAAAAATCAATTTCACAACCCACTAATGTGTATAGAAGCAGTATGAAAAATACTGGTTTATGTCCCTAAAAGCTGGCATCCTAAGCTGTCTTTGCACACTTCAATTTTATGTAAAATTTTGTGTATACCAAATTTTCTAGGGAGAATGACTCTAGTTTTATTCACAATCTCAGAAGTGTCTCTGACCCAAATAACTTTTGAGCCCACTGGCCATTCACAGCATTAACCTCCAACATGGTATCAATACAGTATGTTAGATTCTATGAGTCCCAATCTATTCAAGCAATTTTCTCAAAATTAAACAGAGAAAATACAGAAGGCTGAGAGATCACAGCAAAAACAGAATCTAAAGAAATACGGCTAAAATACATTATCAGAAGAAAAAGAACCCTAAACATTCATAACATTGCAAGAAATGTACCCATTTCTCATTTTTAAAAAGATAGCAAAATTTGAAATAATATTTCTCTAGATCAAAGTTTCATATTTTTATGAAAGTGTTAGAAATCTCATAAAATAAACTCTTTTTTAGTGACTTTTTACTGCTGATAAAATCTTATGGAAGAAAGTACAGTAGCTGCTCCTCAAATGTATCTTTGAAAAATTCACCATATTTACATGACTCAGGACAAGTCTGAACACTACATACATGAATTTAGTTAAGAAACACTGATTGTCTATTATTGTCAGGCTTAACATTTACTACTTCGTTCATTTCCATGCCAATCCCTCAAGAACTTATTACACTTATGCTTCAGGTGAAATAAGGCAGTTTGCCAGCAATCATACTGTGAGTGGGAGAGCCAGAATTTGTGCCCAGATCTGTCTTTCTCCAAAAGCCAAATGGTTTCTCGCACACCAAGTTTACCTTATCAGAGTCCCTTCTCTCAAGGTGCTGTGAGTGTTCAGATGGGGAAAAAGACAATCTGCTCAGAAGGGCACTGAGGAAGGCTTCGTGAAAGAAGGATCATTAGAACTAGTGCCTGAAAGACATGTTTGTTTTAGTCACAAAGCTGAGAAGGGACAGCCAACGACAACGTGAACAAAGACGCAGAGTGGGAAAGTCAGGGAACAAGTGTGGAGGGAACCTACAAATAAATCTTTTTTAAGGCAAAATTGGTTTTGATAACCTGGCTGCATTCTATCCTTAAACATGAGAAATGTGATTTAAAAAAAAAATCAGGGGCACTTGGGTGGCTCAGTGGGTTAAAGCCTCTGCCTTCAGCTCAGGTCATGATCTCAGGGTCCTGGAATCGAGCCCCACATCAGGGTCTCTGTTCAGCGGTAAGCCTGCTTCCCCCTTTCTGCCTGCCTCTCTGCCTACTTGGATCTCTGTCTGTAAAATAAATAAAATTAAAAAAAAAATCAGAGAACTAAGTTTTCAAAATTCTGCAAGTTTCCCACTATTAACAAGGAGAGAAGTTCCAAAATCACAAAGGAAATATAGGAAGGTAGTAAATTGAGATGAAGCTGGAGAGCAGCGGGGTGTTGGGAATCCTGAAACAACCAGCCCCCCACCCCCAACCAGCCAGCAGAGCCAACAAAGTGACTGGATTCACATGCTTTTACTCACTGCAAAATGTCAGTGCTTTAAGGAAATCTTTGTGAATTTATAACGGAATACGGAAAATGGAATTTATCTTGTAACCTTACTCAATCATAATTCTTTGCTGTATTTTTATCCTGTGTTTTGACATGCAAAAATCAAATACATTAAAACTGACATTTACATCACGATCCAATTTTAAAGTAAAACTATGGCAAAATATTTTAACTTGATCAAAAAGACACAATTTGGCCCACCAGCCGGATGGGAGCTGTGCCGGGCCACCTGGTTCTTTTCTCAGTCTTTGGTGCTGTGGGCTGTCCTCCCAGCTGCATTTCAGACCAGACAGTCTCTACTCGACGCCCCCAGGCATGTCTTGCCACCATTCAAAATCAAATCCTTGTTTTCTTCATGAATGTTTCCTAAAATAAGGACACTGGCCTTTCCTCACCCTCCTTTGTACAACAGAAAATGAGGGCAAGTGCATGTCTTCTTTTTTTTTTCTTTTCTTTTTTTTTTTTTTTTAAGATTTTTTTTTTTCATTTTACAGAAATAAAGAAAAAAGAGAACAAACACAGGGGGGGGGGGGGGGGGGGGGGGGGGGCGGCGGTAGGAGAGGGAGAAGCAGGCTTCCTGCCAAGCAGGGAGCCAGATGCGGGGCTCGATCCCAGGACCCCAAGATCATGACCTGAGCTGAAGGCAGAGGCTCAACAACTGAGCAACCCTTTCTAGTACTGAAGAGTGTCTCATCCCCACGTGCAGCAGAAGCACCACAGCCTTTGGGAACCCTCCAGGGATGGGATCTTGGTGATTAATCTGAGAAAAGTGAAGATGTTAAGTGACTTGCCCAAGCTCACATGCCTAGTGGCTCAGCTGGAAACGGAATCCAAGCCCCTTGTCTTCAATAAGCCGATTATTTTTCCCATTTCAAAAAATGTTAAGTGAGTGATGTAATCTGAAATCTTCAGAGCACCCACACAAGCCTAAGTTGAAGGTAATTTCCAAAGATATTAGACACAGTGAGACTTTCCAACACTTAAATTTAGTTGGAGGAATTTGAAGAAGAGCTATAGTACATTGATTTAAGTGAAATAAGAATAATTTTCTTAACTAGATTGATAGCAGCACAGCTACCCACAGAGGAAGAGCCATTAGATCATGTCTTACGTCCATCAGCAGGGGCAGGCGAGTCACCCTCTGCATGGGGAGAATGAGGAAGGAGATCATGGGTAAGTTTCTGCAGTCTTCGTGGGACTCAATTCGTGACAGTACTTCCTTAAAAGATGGGTTAGTGGCTCTGAAAAGAAACAAAGAAAGAAGAAACTCAAAATACTTCCTCCTCAAGTTAAGAAGTAAAAACATATCCCAGGCCTACCTCAAAGATATGGTGGATTTGGTTCCAGACCACTACGATAAAGCAAATATTGCAATAAAGCGAGTCAAAGGAATTTTTGGTTTCCCAGTGTGTATAAAAGTCATGTAGTCTTTGAAATGTGCAAGAGCATTATGTCTTAAAAACAATGCACATACCTTAATTAAAACACACTTTGTGACTAAAAAATGCTAACCATCACCTGAGCTCTCAGTGAGTCATAATCATTGACCACAGATCACTGTAACAACTATGATAATAATGAAAATGTCAGAAATATTGTGAGAAGTACTAAAATGTGACAGGGACACCAAGTGAGTAAACGTTGTTGGAAAAATGGCGCCGACAGACTCGTTCGACGCAGGGTTGCCACTAACCTTCTGTTAAAAGTGAGGTAAGTGAAGCACAATGAAACTAGGTATGCCTGTATAAAATGTTCTGATAAATTCATATATTGGATCTTTTAATATATAAATCAACAAACAATGATATAGACACAGATGGTTTGTCTACCTTTTATAGTAACGACTGGATATAAGATAGGCATTGAAGATATCAATATGAACAATGAGAAACGTATGAGCTAGAAATTTACAGAAGTGGGAAGTAAACGAATGAAGAGGCAATGGTATCAAGTTACAGGAGTACCTAGTCACCATTCCTAAATACGGAAAAATAAAGTGAAAACAAAATGAAATTTAGCTCTAACTCAAGGCTTTGTTTTCAAACATGTAATTTGCATCTTCTAGAGTTACCAGCGATTCCTGAACAGGTATGGGATTAAGAAAAGCAAGGGGTGAGATTATGCCTTTAAGAACATCTGGCAACATCTAGCAACATCTAGAAACATCTTTGGTTGTCACAACTGGAGTGAGGGCATCTCGTGCACAGAGGACAGAGATGCTATCAAACCTGCTACAAAGCACAGGACAGCACCCACAGCAAAGGCTTATCCAGACCAAATGTCAACAGTGCCAACAACACTGGTTTTGCACTTAAAAACCTCATTTGGGGTTGCCAGCTGTTGGTTATCCCCCCTGCCCACACAAGAGTTTCATGAGGTTGTGGAGAGAGAAGAAGGGGCACAATCAGCCCTTCCCAAGGACTTGGAAACTTCAGTGCACAGTTTCTCTCTGCACCAACCCCAATCCCTCCACAGGGGCTCACACATTGCATAGCAGCTGACCAGAGCTCCACGCTGGTCGTAAATGTCACAACCCATGGGGGAGCTGGTCGTAAATGTCACAACCCATGGGGGACGGGGGTGATTGATAATAGCCTTCAGCCCCCAAACTGAGTTTATGGCAATTCACACTGTCCTAGAAAACAGAGAGCTACGTGAGATAAGCAGGGTCTTCCGAAATAAAACAAGACATTAAGGACAATCACTGACTTTTAAGGCTAAAGACATATACATCATATCAAAACTCTCAGTAACCTAAATAGGACAAAGGGGGAAAGGTGAGGAAGGATTTTTAAAGCATCATTCTTTTTTGTTGCACAAATTAAAGTCTTTAAGAACATGTGTTTCTTTTGCTTTCCTACAGACCTTCCCTTCTCTCTTCACTTCTAAGTCCCCAGAAGGGGAAAATCACCAATTCCTATTAAAAAAAAATTAATGGTGTTGTCACCTGAATGGAGGAAGATTAGAAGAGCAGAGAATCTGGATACTAGGCACTAGTTCAACTCAAATACTCTCTTGGCCTCAGGCAAACTACTCAATGGCCAATTAATGGCTTGGAAAACGGAAGTTTTAGAATAATGGTCACTCTGTGTCTTACAGCAATTTAAAACAACAACAAGGAAAATGGTAACAGAAGCCATAATTTCATAATTGCTTTAGAGAGAAAGTTGTCCACAGACTAGATTTTTCTATTCAAACACCCTCACCCTGAAAGCAGTACTGGGAAACAGCTCATCAGAAGGCATTTCTAAATATGATGTAAGAGATCAATTAATTTCAATCAATGTGACCTAATTAAAATGAGGTTAGGCTATTCACCGTAACATTCAATAACATCTCTTACAACAATTTCTGTAGTGTGCGTTGTTGGTAGACTTCGTTTGTGCAGTATTTCACATATGGGTCAAATGTGGAGGCTGTGTGCTTCTCCACAATGTCACTTATGTCATCTATGAAGATATTACTCTGATGTCTTGCTTCCAACTCTGTAAAGAATCTGTAAAAACAAAGAAAAGCACTTACATTTTCTTACATACACTTGAAGAAAATGAAAGACCATTCTCATGTAATGGTATTATATACAGGATTTGAAAGTACAAGGAGTACACAATACCATCTCAAAGAGATAATAAGAAAAAACTATAAAGATTGTCTAAATTCAAATCTATCATATTAACATCTTATTATTTCAAGTGTTCAACTGAAAATACTGATAACAGGTACTTCTGTGCTTTCAGATATATTTTAGAATGTACAGATTTCACTCTTTTTCCAAGAATTTCCTAGATACTGGAGGGGGTGCAGTCATGTTACCGTATTTGATTGTATTGAAAAGCCTATGAGCAAAATATCTAAATAAGTACTGAAAAAACAAGTCGGAGGGGCAACTGAGTGGCTCAGGCAATTAAGTGTCCAACTGTTGATTTTGGTTCAGATCATGATCTCACAGTCTTGAGATAGAGTCCTGTGTCTGGCTCCATGCTACTGAGCATGGAGTCTGCTCAAGATTCTCTCTCTCCCTCTCCCACTTCCCCTCTCCTGCTTAATCACGATCTCTCTCTCTCTTTCTCTCTCAAAAAAAGAAAAAAAAAGTCTGAAATAAACCTAATTCTGCATCCTTTTCTCTGAAAATAATCATATTATTTTAAATCTAATAATATGCTGACATTTAACTGTATTCAGAAATTATTAAGATCACATTTTAGAACTGCCAGATTTGGGGTATGTTTATATCCATCTATCTGGTGTCCAGTCCAGTGAAAATTAAATTTCAGATAAATGAACTATTTTGTAGTACACGTATGTGCAAAAATAGTAAATGGGACGTCTTGAGCAAGCACTCTGTATCTTATCTAGCAGCCCTGGAGGGCAGCCAATTTTAACAGCACATCAAAATCAGATATTTGAAATAAGTTTCCACCCAGAGCATTGCTGCTCAAAATTGCAGTCCACAGACCAGGCATCTAAGAGCTTACTAGAAATGCAGAATCTCACCACCCATGTCCATCCCCCCAGTCCGAACCTGCATTTTATCAAGATCTTCAGATAATTCAAATACACAGTAAAAGTTGAGATGAAACTGCCTAGATCACATTTACTGTCCATGTTTGGAGGAATAGGAAAATCTGTTAGAAAGCACTTTCACTGTGGGGCCAAAGCACCTTCCAAAAAAAGTGTAATGAAGGTGAAACTAACAGTGATTTCTAATTTTGACCTCTGGAATAGTCATACAAGAGAAATTTAGTTTTCTTATTTTATTTTATTTTATTTATCTGAGAGCAAGAGAAAGAGAGCACATGGGGAGGAAGAGGGGCAGGGGGAGAAGCACACTCCCCACTGAGCAGGGAGCCCAATGCAGGGTTCAATCCCAGCACCCCACCCCCATCATGCCCTGAGTTGAAGGCAGAGGCTTAACTGAGGAAGCCACCCAGGCGCCCCATGAGATATTTAGTTTTCAATAACCTTTTTAGCATTCATCACATCATCACTCCTAACTAGTTTGCTGGGTAGATTCCAAATACAAAACTCAAGGCTGACAGTGAATGAGACAACCGAAATTTACACAAGATGAATAACAGTAAATATGAGCTAACATCTTCTCACATTTACATCTCGGTTATTTTCAAAAAATATCCTGGCACTCAGCAATAAAACAGTCTAGATTTTAAGAGGTTTCGATTTCACATATTTACATGTACATTAAACACACTGCAGTATAAACTATTAGTTTGTCATCATTACCAATTTTATTTTTTAGCATTTCCGTAGGATCTTAAAAGATGAAGAAATACACCTTAACTCCTAGAAGAGTAAAATTATTTATGTTTGGACAAAGTATAGAAAATTTTTTATTTCCTTTAAGGAGGATTTAGGGAAAATAGTAAGTAGGACTCCCATCCATAGGTTATAATCGGCCTAATTATCCAAGCCCTTTGTTGAAAACCGCAAAAGAAAAAACTTAAAGCACACTTGGCTGGGTTATTTGGCTTTCCTTCCAAAGGTATCAGGGTTAATATGCACAATTCCTAAATAGTCGGTCAGAAATACCAAATTATGTTCCAAAACAGCTTCATATCACTTTGTCAAGGCTGAGTATATTAACATTCACGTAAAATATCAAATGCTCTCCTAAAAGTTTCAGTAATTGCAAAAACAACCTACTCCAAACCTCTGTTTGTTAAAGGATATTTAAAAGTCATTTCTTAAAAGATATTTTCTATAAAGACGGGTTCCTGACTTCAAGAAATCCGTGTTATATTGTGAAGGTAAGGCCGATAAACACAGAAGATATAGTGGGGGGTTTGGGGGTAGGGAAGGAAAAAACGAAACAAGATGGGGTCGGGAAGGAGACAAACCATAAGAGACTCTTATCTCACAAAACAAACTGAGGGTTGCTGGGGGGAGGGGGGTCGGGAAAGGGTGGTGGGGTTATGGACACTGGAGAGGGTATGTGCTATGGTGAGTGCTGTGAAATGTGTAAGACTGATGATTCACAGACCTGTATCCCTGGGGCACATAATACATTATATGTTAATAAAAATAATTTAGAAAAAAAAAAGAAAGACAACATGTTTGCATACAACCACATATTGGAACATATGTGCCTAAGGGTGGTGGTGTCAGTATCTTTTTTTAAATTACATGAACTATGTATGTTTTTAATTGGGGTAAAATATATGTAACATAAAATTTGCCATTTTAACCATTTTTAATTCAACGGCATTAATTATATTCATAATGTTGTACAACTTTCACCACTATTCCCAAAATATTTTCATCACCTCCAACAGAAATGCTACACCCTTTACCTGATAATGCTCCATTTCCATTCTCCTCAGCCACTAATCACTTCTTTTTGGTGGGGGGGGGCGCTGAGGGGGAAGGGGATTGAGAATCCCAAGCAGGTTCCACACCCAGTATGGAGCCCAACATGGGGCTCAATCTCACAACCCTGAGATCATGGCCTGAGCCAAAATCAATTGTCAGACACTTAACCGACTGAGCCACCCAGGTGCCTTCTGACTACTTCTAATCTACTTTCTATCTCTATGAATTTGCCTACTCAAGATATCTTATATATGTGGAATCATAAGATATTTGTGCCTTTAGTCTGGCTTATTACACTTAGTGGGTAATATTTTCTAGGTTAATACATGCTGACATATAGAACAGAACTTTATTCCCTTTATGGCTGAATAATATTCTATTGTGTATGTATATCATATTAAACTTATTCATTCATCAGTTGATGTACACTTAGGCTGTTTCTACCCTTTGGCCATTGTGAATAAATGATTCTGCTATGAACATTTGCACACAAGCATCCATCTGAGTCCTTGTTTCCAAGTCTTTGGGGCCATATACTTAGAGGTGGAACTTTAACCTCACTGACTCTGCCAAAAATAGTATATATCCGGAAGTGATAGTATAACACCAAGAATCGGTACAGAAGAAGCTGAGCTATAAGCCAAGAAGAGATTATTACATTAAGTGAAAGTTGAATAGAAAATGATCCTTTCAGGGCGCCTGGGTGGCTCAGTGGGTTAAAGCCTCTGCCTTCGGCTCAGGTCATGATCCCAGGGTCCTGGGATGGAGCCCCACATCGGGCTCTCTGCTCAGCGGGGAGCCTGCTTCCTCCCCGCCCTCTCTCTACGTGCCTCTCTTCCTACTTGTGATCTCTGTCAAATAAATAAATAAAATCTTTAAAAAAAAAAAAAGAAAGAAAAGAAAATGATCCTTTCCTTCCCAGCACACATAGATGAGTAGCCCATGGGAAGCATGACACCCGTTAATTACAATACAAGACCTGTAACAGAGACATCCAGTGAAAAGTCCAGAGGGCTGGTGACTGATAGCGAGGAAAGGTGTAAGGATGGCATTAGGGGGAACAAAGGGGCAGGGGAAACAATGTAGCTACAGGCACGAATCAGGAAACTGGCATTCAGTGGGGCTGAGGTGTTGACCATAGGAGTACCAAAGGCAGAGAATGAGGATTGAAAAGTAGGTCAGGGCCAGACTGCAAAGGCTTGACTGTGTGCTGAGGAGCTTGTCTTCATCTGTGGACAATGAGAACTATTAGAGGTGATGAAGACAATCAATCATCCAATCAGAGAATTCTGGGGGCAGAGAAGGGATGGAGTCCAAGTGGGGAGAGGACAGACCACAAGCAGGCCAAGAAACGGCTAATGTGCACATCAAGCCTGGGGGGGGGGGGGGGGGGGAGAGACAGAGTAGGGTAACAATTTGGAGGAAAAGTTCACAAAAACAACAACAACAACAACAACAACAACAACAACAACAAAAATCATCAGATGGGAAGTCACGAAGATGCTGGGTTTCTATTCAAGATTTCCAACTGATCAGCAAGGTGGGCCATTGATCACAAAGACAGCGATTTAGGAGGAGTGAGGGAATGTGAGAAGGAACAGTTTAATTTTGCCTTGCACACATCAAAAGGACAGCTAGAAAATACATGTCTGTGAGAATTCAGAGCCACAGGAGTTCTATCTAGGTAGTACGTGGTCAGGATTAGTTCACTTTTAGCTGGTTTTCATATAAATGCAAAATATTTGTTCATTATTTTAACTCCACGTGTCTTTCAGGAAAATGTTCAAAGAAAACTGAAAAAATAAGAAACCATTCATAAGGTCATTACCATGTAAATCTAAGAAATGAATGTCTCAGAGGCAAATATCCCTTACTGTTTCTTGTCTTTAACTAACTATTATAGTCTGAAGGAATGCAACTACATAACCAAAAACAACAGTAAGTTGGCTTTTCCCAATGAAAAGGAAAATTCATTTATCACAGTAAAAGCCGTGCCAAAGTACAAGATTAAAAACAAAGCACTAATGAAATATATGTTTATGCTACTTACTTCAGTATAATATAAACCAAGCCACCCATCTTTTATTTTGACATTAGCACAATTAAGACATAATTTAAAGTTTCCTATGTGAAATTATCTATTGGTTATTTTGGCAAATTTGCATATTT